AAGGAACAGAGCCGGCCGCGATGTCGGGAATTACAAGCTGAGCAGCACCCTGCGCCCCTACCAGTGCAAACTGCCTCTTACCTGCCGGTAACAAGGGAGAACAGAACACCCAAGAGCCCAACAGGCGGCCGAAAAACCGAAAGGTAAAACGGACCAGCAGAGGCAGACCCCGAGGAGCCTGTGGAAGGTGGCCCCAAGCCCCAAGGGCAGTACTTACAGGGCACCTAGGGAAGGCAGCCCTAGGCGCATGCAGCCCGAGTACTGAAGATAACTCCTGGCTCTCGCACCCACAAAACCAACACCACACGCAAAGCACAGTGCAGTAGTGACACCGGAGCCAGGGCACACGACCATCGCCTATAGCATCAGCCTCAAGAACTGAGGTGTGGGTAGCCGGCGTAGGGGGTCTGGGGCTCCCCCTTCCCCCTCCCGGGGAGGGGGGAGCTGCGCAGACAGCGGCGAGGCGGTGTGTGACGTCACACTAGTTTGTTTTCGGTTGGGGAGTTCTATCCACTAGTTCGGCTTTTGGTAGCAATTTTAACCAGAATAGGGGTTTGTTTTGAGGCGCTTACCTTTCTGGGTGCCTGTTCCAGTCGATGGCAGACATAGAATGCTTCCAACCACATGGGAGCTTCTATAGGCCATTGCTCCCCTTGCCTCTCTGAGGGGGCCCGGTTCTGGCCGTGGTCCCCGGTAGGCCTAAGAACTCCATACACATGACTGATGCCAAAGTCTGACATTAGCATATCAGCCTGGGATAGCTCCGGGGAGCCGACGGGGCTCCCCCCAGAAAAAACGACAAAAAACTATAAATCCTTGTGAAGAATTCAGGCGGGATAGTCACTGGGCGTGAGACACTGGTAAACTGAGGCGTAATCGCGGTGCCACCACGCGCTAGTCGGCCTGTACGTGTATCAACACCCTCGTGTTCCGAGGCAACCCCCATCTTCCGAGGCAAATTTTCCGAGCAAATCCTGCTCGTATTTCGAAAAACTTGTATACAGGGACACTCGTATTCCGAGGTACCGTTGTACTTTGAGATCGAATTCAGCAACAAAGATGAAGATTGATAATAAATGCATCCCATTGCTCGCAACATTGGGTACCACAGTTCTACGGGTGAGAGTGTGCCTCCCCAAATACCCGGGCGTTAAAACAGAAGATGTCTGAAAGAATAATCAGGAATGGCAAAAGGTCAGCAGGAAAGACAATGAGAAAGGAGAAGAGAGGGATGGGGGGAAGAAAAATTAAAAATAAGTTAGAGATAATAGCAGCCGGCACAATTAGTGAAGATGGCAGCAGGAGCATAAGGCTTCAAAAGACAGAGAACCGTCCCATGGAGCATCACACCCGGGCAGCCGCCCACCAAGCCCTTTCACGACAATAGCGGGCTGGAAAGGGACAGGGCAACTGGTGGAAGGAAATGGCTCTGGCGAGGTTACGTATTGACCACAGACTTTTAACTCATCAAATTTGATTTGATTAATCTCTCTCATTACTTATGAATTACTCTCTCATCTATCCTTATCTCAATTCTAGTGCTTGGGGTTCTATTACCCAAGATCATCTACATCCTCTAATTCCTCAACACAAATCTGCTATTAGAACAATAACAAACTCTGGCCCCAGACAGCACTCTGCACCCTTAATTAACTCTTTGAATATGTCAGATATAAAGTCACTGCACATCCTCTCATGTGTACTCCTATATATTTAAAACTTTGAACTGCAATGCCAATCATGACCTTAAATGCTTCCTAGAAAATTATAACAGAGCCAATGGGCACCAAACCAGAAACAAATACCAATTTGATATTCCAAGAATGTGACTTAACAAAACTAGAAATGCTCTGCAAATCAAGGGGACCCAAAATGTGGAATGACCTACCCAATCATGTGAAAGGCTGTACCTCTCTCAACCAGTTTAAGAGAAAAACTAAGTACTACCTAATAAACTTCATGTAACCTACCTTACCCCCAAAATGTCAACCCATGACTCTGTATTTTAAAACAATACTTTTTTTTGACCAACTTGTGTAACTACTGATGTCTGCCATGCTGTTTCCCCCCCCGCCTCCCCTCTTTCCCTTTTTCAATGCAATTTATGCTTTGATCTCATATAGTATTAAGTTTTAGTCTATGTTTTTTTCCACACTTATGAAACGCTGTAATACAGTAGTGGTTCTAGGCATTGTCTGTACTAGCTCTATCTAGAACTCCAATATTATGCTTGTAACTCATCTTGTATGTATGTACTTTTACCTGAATAAACATTTGATTTGATTTGATTTGAATCAAGTCATAAAATTTGCAGATAACATTAAAATCTATGGTACAGTGGGAAGTGAAGATGATATTGAGATCTACATGAACGTTACAAATGGTCAGATGACTGGCAAATGTTTTTTAACGTTAATAAATGCAAGATCTTGCATGTGGGGCACAACAATCCACGTCACAGCTACCAAATTGACAGCCCTACCTTAACAGATAGATGAAGAAAAGGACCTTAGAGTTGAATCCATCATTCATTAAAAGTTGCACAATAAGTGGGAGCAGCAGTAAATAAAGCAAGTCAAACCCCTGGGAATAATCAAGCATACCTTTACCTTCAAGGAAAAGAAAGTAGTCATTAAATTGTATAAATCTCTGGGTGCACTTCCACTTGGACTATTGCATCCAGGCATGGAGACTTCATTTTCAGACATAGCTGCTTTGGAGAAGGGGAAAGTGCAACACCAGGCATCAAAAATCATACCAGAGCTTAGTTATCTCACGTATCAGGAACTGTTGAAGCCCACTGGGCTAACAACACTGCAAATCAGACATGGTAGGGCGAATCTCACCGAAACCTTTAAAACACTGAACCATTTGGAGGATATCGATCTAGTCAATTTCTTCAAAAGATCAGATGTAACACAAATGAAGAGCAATGGGTTCAAGCTTAATAAACCACAATGCAGGACAGAAAATAGATGCTTTTTCATCCCATAGGGTTGTAAACCCGTGGAACTGCCTACCCGCTACAGCCGTAAAGGCCAAACTCTGCTGGATTTTAAAATTCAACTGGAAAAAATCATCAGGGCAAATGGGGACCCCTTTGACAGGCTGCCAGCTTCCTGTCATCATCAAGGCCACTAGTATTAGTGGCCCTCAGGTAAATTCAGGTAAAAACTCACGGGTATTTAATGGAGCACCACCCTGCTCCTTATTGTCCTCCTCCTGATGATGCATATCCTGTTGAATGTCCTGACTTCCAGGATGTGCGTGGGTCTTGCTTCCCGACTGTCCCTTGCGGTCACCTGTTACTCGATTGAATCCTTGGTGAATCGGATACCTTTGATATCATTTGCCTTATGGGCTTTTATTCTAGTATTGACATCCTTAGTGACATTTAGTGCCTTTTGAATATCCCACACCTTTGAAAGTCCTACATAAGTCTCCCCGGCTTGGCGCCTTCTTTAGATAATTACTTACTTCCCATGAGACCAAATGATGATTAGCCTGCCAATTGAGAAGCAAACTGGGTCAAACACAAGGTCAGCTGGATGCACATATATAACTGGAGACATCATTTGTCTGCTGGAGACAAAAGCATCAACAATCGAGTTACAACTCCCATACTAGATGCTACAAGCCATGCTACGAAGCAGACGATCACTACCAGCCTCATCCGAGCTCTCCACTCTCACCCACTCTCTCTCTCTCTCTCTACTCTCGGATTCATTACAGCTCGCCTCTCCAGGCCTCGCACAAGATCTCTACTCCCGGCCACCTTCAGCACCATGTCCTACTTGACTCTACCAGCAGTACGTAACAAGCATCCTCATCCCAATCTATCACAACACCATCCTTCTATTTCTAACATCCAGCTAGTATACCTAAACTACAGCATATTAAATAAACAACTAAATCCACAATAATTTTTAAAAATGTCACTCAGTCATATAAGGTAGATATTTTTGGAGACCCAAACCGGGCCTCACCAATGCAGGACAAAGTATCTATGACAAAGTAGACAAAGGACAGCTGCCCTCCAAAGAAGGGGGGCTACAATGATGCCTGTGGCAGTCTAGGTGGGGTTCCATATATAAGCAACAAGGTGCTTATATGTGAAAATCAGCAGGGTACATGTGTGTTCTTCATGACAAATATAAAAATACTTAGGCTATGCAGCATGTTTGAGTGTGGGGATAGTGCCATGATTGTTCATTAAGGAGGGGTAAACGGTGCAGTTATTACAATGAATGATTGAGCCACCCCAGGTGATGATGTAGTTAGCACTGGGGACTTGGGGTTCAACCCTGTGGAGGAAGTAGGAGGGCAATGGACAAGATCAGTTTGGGTAGCCAAAGAAGTCTGGTCTAGGCCCAATGTAGCCGGAGCAATGATACCTGATCTTCCATCATTGTCCGATGCCTCTACGGGCTGCCCCTCATGGGCAACCCTTCCAGTGGGTGATCCAATGGGGCTCCAGTCATGAATGGGAACTATGTTTGTTCCATTTTGCACATACAACACTTGGAGAGCAGCAGATGGAGGCCAAAGCAGCCTCCACCTGCTCCTCAGAGCCGTACACGAGTCCCGCCCTTCATCACAAGGTGAAACTCTTGTGTGGAGAAAGTGGCGAACTCGCTCTCAATGCCTGGATAGGGGCAGGAGAAGGAGGGGAGGGGGGGCTAAGGCAACCCTCAATGACCCCAGAATCATACCCGAGTCCCCCCTCACCATGACAGTGAAACTCTTAAAAGGGTCTTCTGATAATTACAATGGGATTTCCATAATGACAAGGATGGACAAGGAATGAAATGCTTCTGTTTTCTGAGCATTCAAAACAGCATATTCAGAAAACAGCATCTCCTGTTTTCTGAGTACTGTATAAGTCATAGTGCAAGACTTAGTTGGAGGGAACGTAAAGCCATGAATAGTAGCCCAGGATGACACACTACTGACTGCAAGATGGATTTGGTGTTATATTAGGAAGAAATGAAAGTTCTGTATGTAAAGGCTCATCGGGAAATGAAATGAGCAGCAAGATTCTGTATTAAACATGAGAACAAATGCTGAACTCAAAAGTAAAATAAAATATACAAGGAGGATGGGTTACCATGACCATGTTTATCATCCTGTAACTACAATTAGGTATAGTAATTACAATTAAATAATTGCACTAATTGATCAGTGGTCTTTGTGCCAGGCTTAAAATCAAAATGACATCATTACTAACTTGTTCACTAACAATATATGAAAAGGAGTCTAAATTCTTTGGTTTGTCATGATTTTGACTAAATCTTCAAAGAGACTTAAAACCTCAAATGATTTTGTAGATTGTTCATATAACTTAAAAATCTCTATCACCAATAAACTTTAATTATTATTTTCAGTTAAATATATAATGCACCCATTTATATAATTAGTAATTATTATTTGACTGCTAAGTATCATTTGATTTGTTGTCATAAATTTAATTACAGTAATGTTTAGTCAATGCCTTCTCTTTCTCTCCAAGCTTTTTTCATCATTTCTCTTTTCAGTGATTTTTTATGCACCTTTGAATTTTTTAATTCCTGTATTCTCCTGAGCTGAGAATCTACACTCATTTCTCCATTAAAATGATTATCCAATTTTGTTATCATTAACTGCCGTGCCTTCACTCGATTTCTTTGCAAACTTCGGTCTTCGTGGCACTTGACGACAAAACCTGAAGGAAATAATTTTAAGACATTAGTTATTAATTACTATAAATGTTTATGTTTATGAGCTAAAGCCTAATTTTCCTTAAATAAACACACATTACTGTAAAGTACTCTTCGTTATCTTTTCTGGGAGGAGCCTCTTCAGGAGCCCCTGAAGCTATCTCGCCGAGATGGCTCCCAATTAACAGATCGCATCAGCCATAGAATTCAGTTCAGCTCACTGAAGACCAGAGTCAGAATCTGGGCCGCCTAACAGAGGTGCAAAGAGCAGGTAACACATTGCCACCTCAGTGGAGAAGGTTCTGCTGGGTTCAAGAGACACTGAAGCCTCACAAACCACTGAATGAACTCTCTCAACAATGCCAAGCCGGGAAGTCTCGTACTTTAGACAGTACAAGAGAGGAGCGTGCGCTTATTCACTCCCCAAGAAGTATGAGACTAAACCTTAAGTAGGTTAAGGGCCTTAAGAGCATTCAACTCAGAGGTAAGAGATAGGGGCAACCAAGACAAACGAGTGTCAAAGATTAACCCCAAAAGCTTAGCGGAATCTTTGTTCAGAAGGGGATGACCATATAGCGACAAAGAGGAATGAAGAACAACATGCTTCCGAGTAAAAGTCAGAGCACAAGTCTTAGTTGCAGAGAACTTGAAGCCAAGATTGGTGGCCCAAGACGACGACAGCATCAATCGCAAGTTGAAGCCGCCATTGAAGGAGAGGCGAATCATCACCTCAACAGGAAAGAGTAAAATCGTTGATATAGAGAGCGGAGAAGACACCAGAAGGAAGAGAGTAAGCAAGACCATTGGGGGCAACCAGAAAAAGAATAGTGCTCAGAACACTACCTTGGGGTTCACCTTTGTATTGCCAAAAAGAATCAGAGTGTGTCACCAAGCCTCACTCTAAAGGAATGATGAGGGAGGAAGCTTTGGAGGAAGAGAGGGAGATTACCACGAAGGCCAAAAGAACGAAGTTGGGACAGAATATGGTATCTCCAAGGAGGGAGGGAAAGGCCAGGGCTCATGCTGTCCACTGGCTTAAGTAAGTAAGTCCTTTTGCTAATGCAGCATGTGCAACACATCTGCAGTAGGGTTCCTGGGTCATCAGTAAGCCATTACAGTCCCTGGTGCTTTTCGCCTAAGTGACTTGCTTTTAATCATATGGATGGTGAAATTCTACAGAAACTGTTCTTGATTTTTTCTGAGATCAAAATTGGAATATACAGCAGTTGTATGGTGCCCATATCTCAAGTAGCATATAAATAAACTGGAAAAGATGCAAAGGCATGCAACAAAACGGCTTCTGGAGCTGAAAAACAAAGAGTCACAAGGAGAGACCGAGGCTTTAAACATGCCAAACCTAGAAAATAGATGAAAAAGAGCTGATATGATCACTACTTACAAAATACTAATAGGAATCGACCAAATTGACAAGGAGGAATTCCTGAAATCAGCAACTTAAAGAACAAGGGGGACACAGATTCAAGTGAAGGAAACAAAGGTGCCAAAAAAATATTAGAAAGTTTTCTTTTGCAAATAGAGTTGTAAACGGTTGGAACAAGTTTAGTGAGAAGATGGAGGAAGCCAAAACTGTCAGTAATTTCAAAGCATTGTGACTAAGAGTACCGGAAAGACAGGACACCACGAGTGTAGCTCTCATCCTGTAACTACATTTAGGTAATTACCCAAGTGCAGTTACAGGATGAGAGTTGCACCAATGTTGTCTCGTCTTCCCAGCACTGTCACATAATGCTTTGAAACTACTGACAGTTTTGGCCTACACCACCTACTAGCTTATTCCAAATGTCTAACACACTATTTGCGAGTGATTTTTCTTATATTTCTTCAGCGCTTTGTTTAGTTAGCTTAAATCTATGACCTCCTGTTCTTGAAGTTCAGGTCTCGGGAATTCTTCCCAATAAATTTTGTTGATTCCAGTTACTATTTTGTAGTGTGTAGTGATCATATTGCCTCTTTTCCTTCTGTTTTCTAGTTTTGTCATATTTAATGCCTGTCTCTCCTTGTAGGTTGTCTTTCAGTTCCAGGAGCCATTTAATTGCATGTCTATGCACCTTTTCCAGTTTATTGATGTGCTTTTTAAGATATGGGCACCAAACAACCACTGCATATTCCAGCTTTGGTCTCAAAGGTTGTGAACAATTTCTTTACTATGTCACCATCCACGTATTTAAAAGCAATTCTGAACTTGGAAAGCATTGCATAGGCTCCTCTTACAATATTCTTTATGTGATCATCAGGTGATAGTTTACTATCTAGACCACCCCTAGAACTTTTACTTTATCAGAATTTTGTTTAAAGCTTTTTCACCTAATTTGTAGGTTGTGTGTAGTCTATTCTATCCTAATCCTCATTCCAAAACATGGCATTTATTCACATTAAATTCCATTTGCCAAATTAAATTTTCTATTCCTTCTGATAGGTTATGCAGACAATGGACACTATAGGTGCAAAAACTGAACCCTGTGGTAATCCACTCGTGACACTTCTCCAGTCCAATACATTGCCTCTGATTACTACCCTCATTTTTCTGTTAGAAAATTTGTCATCAATGTTAAAAGTCTCCCGGTCCCTCCTCCAGTATGATCCAGTCTCCAGAACAATCTTTTATGTGGAACTCTGTCAAAAGTCTTTTTTAGGTTCAGATAAATGCAGTCAACCCAACCATTTCTTTTCTGTAAAATCCCATGGCTCTATCTTAGAAACTAAGTAAATCCATAACACAGGATCTGCCAGATTAAAAACCATAATGTCTGTTATTGTCATTTTTCTTCAGGTGTTCTACCCATTTAGTTTTATTATTTTGTCCAATATTTGAACTGCTACACTTGTCAATGATACAGGTCTAATTACGGAGGGTCTTTCTTGCTGCCACTTTGTAAGTGGCAACAAGGAAGAGGGGTAATGGTCAAAGTACGACATAAGCGAGAGCGAGGGGTGGGGGGGACCACGTAACTTAGCGAAGACAGTAGCGATCACAGCGATCCTGTAGAAATAGGAGGCCGGTTTCAACATACAGGCTCTGGGTAGGAGTCGAATGAAAGGTACCAGAGCTGAGGAGGCCCAGTATGGTGAAGAGCATTGAGACGACGAAGGGTGGAGGGAGAGGCAGACTAGTAAGCAGAACACCATAACCGAGTTTAGACGGCACAAGAGAGGAATGTAAAGAGAGGAGCATGTGCCTATCAGCTTCCCAGGAAGTATGGGACAAGACCTTAAGTTAAGGGCCTTAGAGCATTCAACTCGGAGGTAAGAGATATGGGGTGACCAAGACAATTGAGTATCAAAGAATAACTTCAGAAGTTCAGCAGAATCCTTATAAAAAGAGGATTACCATAAGCAACAGAGGGGGTCGAAGTACGACCTGATTCCGAGTAAAGGTCATAGCACAAGTCATAGCGGTAGAGAACTTGAAGCCACAATTGGTGGCCCAGGACGACACAACATCAATCGCAAGTTGAAGCCACCATTGGAGAAAAGGAGAGTCATCACCTTGGCAGCATAGGGTAAGATTGTCAACAAAAAGAGCAGAAAAATGTCAGAGGGAAAGGAGGAAAGAAGACCATTGAGGGCCACCAGGAAAAAAAAAAAGAGTAGTGCTCAGAACACTACCTTGGGGCACACCTGTGTATTGCTGAAAAGAAGTAGAGAGTGGTACCAAGCCACACCTGAAAGGAATGACGAGAGAGAAAGCTCTGGAGGAAGAGAGGAAAATTACCACAAAGGCCAAAAAAGCGGAGTTAGGACAGAATATGGTATCTCCAGGTGGTGTCATATGCCTTTTCTAGGTCAAAAAGAACAGCAACCACAGAGGTCTACACAGCAAAGGCAGTACGAATAATGACCTCCAAGTTCACGAGGACATCAGTCATGCTGCGACACTTACGAAAGCCAAATGTAGAAGGGGAGAGGAGGTGATAGCGTTCCAAGAACCACATCAGACAAACATTGATCATACGCTCAAAGAGTTTGCAGACACAACTCGTGAGAGCAATGGGGCGGAAATCTCTAGGGGATGACCCTAGAGAACCAGGTTTCCAAATAGGAAGAACAACTGCCTGAAGCCAGTCCTCAGGGACTGATGACGACTCCCATATACCATTATAAACACTCAATAAATACTGAAGTGTACATGGAGGGAGATGGCGAAGCATCTCATAATGAATATCATCTGAGCCCACTGACGTACAACCGCAGGGGGACCCGGGCAGACTGGAGTTCTGAGAGACAGGATTATTATAGGGATGCCAAAGAGAAGTGCAAAAATCAAAGGGATAAGACTCAAGAAGAGGCTTACGAGTAAGGAAAGGAGGAAGATGAGAACTGGAGATAACAGTCAAAAAGTGTGAACCCTGTTCAGTCGCGACCGACACCGTATCTGCCACAATAGAACCACGGAGGTGAAGGACTGATGAGACATCTGGAACAAACTTACCCACTACCTTGTGGATTTTCTTCCAGATCAGGGGCAGAGGAGTATCAGACGTAATGGTGGAAACTAAAAATCTCCAACCCCCCACGCTTAGCTGTTCGGATAGCCCTATGGGCCACCGCACTCGCCTTCTGAAACAAAATAAATGAATCGGGCGTCCTTTGGTGACGGTGTTTTAGGCCGCATGCTTACAGCAGACAATGCAAGCACAGTCTGAATTCCAACAGGTAATGCATTTCCGTGCACCTCAGGAGGTAGAGCAAGGAACGGAGCAGAGGGCAGCATAAAAAACAGTGTAATGGAGGAAGACTCAGGGAAGAGGCAGATCAGAAAGAGTACCGTGTAAGGTGAAGAGGTTCCAGTCAGCTTTGGCAACTGTCACCTTGGGAAGGAGAGGGGAGGGTGAAAAGAGAAGGTGACAAGGATGGGGAAATAGTCACTGTTATGTAGGTCATCAAGAACCCACCAGGTGAAATCCAAATAAAGAGAAGACTACGCAGAGAGAAAGATCAAGACAGGAAAGGGTGCAAGTGTGGGAGTCAACATAAGTAGGTTCACTAAAATTCAGAAGAGACAGAGAAGATGAGAGGACAAATGGTTTAAGAAGGCAGCCCCGGGTGTTTGTCAGAACATCTCCGCAGAAGGTATCCCCGACAGTAAAAATCACCCAAAAGGAGCACAGGCTCTTTTGGGTGATTTTGATTGGGAAGACCCAGAAGAACAAACAGGAGGGCACCGGAGCAAGGGCAGCATCCAAGAGAGGATCAAGGACCAAGGAAACCTCCATAGCTGGGACAGGTGACCCAGCCACTGAAATGGGAAGGGGAGCAGGGATAGTATCGGAGTCGGAAGGTGAGAGCTATATAAAAGTCTTCTTATCCGTTGGGAAGGAAGATAGAGAAAAGCCAGGCTAACACTTCTGACGTAGAGAGACAGGCATACTATCAGCAATATAGTGGCACCTCAACTTACGACTGCCCTTACTCATGAATTTTTTGAGTCACGACGTAAATTTCGTCGGAAAATGCGACTCGACATACAACCTTTGCCTCGACTAGCGACTTTGTTGATACACATATGGGTCGATTGATTGTGTGGCACGGCCGACCCCGCCTCAGTTTACCAGAGCCGCCCGCTTAGTGACAATCGTGCTTGTAAAGAATTTCATTATTTTTGTGCCTTTTCATTTTTTGAACATAAAAGTAATTATTATATATCAAGTCAAGGGTACCAAGGAAATCAGTGGTAAGGTTCAACCTAAGAAAACACATGTGTGGATGACCATAGAGGAAAAACAAGAGATCAATCGTAAACATGAAAATGGTATGAGGGTTGTTGATGTAGAGTACAGGATGTCCCTTCCTCATCTATTAACAAAAATGCGTGCAGAATTGCAAGAATTGGAAGAATTGCAAAGTTTTGCTGAAAAGTGTCACCCAAATCAAGCTGTAGCAGGCCGTTGTGTTAAGTCTTTTTAATGACAATGTGATGTCTCACTTTAGACAAGTGTTACAATGTAGGGAAAAACAAGTGTTGCTAGACAGGTTTTCAGTGAGAACAACAAGCAGTGAGCCACAAACAGGTCCTAGTGGTATGCAGGCAAAACATAGGAGAGAGAGTATCCCAGAAAAGTCATCACTGCCTCATGTTATAATGGAAGGGGACTTCCCTTCCAAACACTAACTCCCCTCCTCCTCACCATCTTCCATATGCCAACAAGAGTCCTCTTTCAAGGTAAGATACACATACAGTACTGTATTATAGCTAGTACAAAATGAGTGTTATTTGGTATAAAATGTATTTTAACCCTTTAACTGTGCAACGCGCCTGCAGGCCCAGGCTTCGGGTGCGCAACGCGCCTCCAGGTGTTTTTATTTTTCACGTTCCATTCAAAACTCCCGCGGATACATGGGGTTCACATCAGCTTCCTCAGGGCTCTTGTAAACAGATGCCATCTTTAAAAAAAATCATGGTCCACATTGCCGGGTGTCAAAGCCTCAGTAGTGAGTGAGCAACCAAGGCTGGTGCTCGCAGCATAAGCGCACAGCTCTGCTGTTCAGCGTGTGACCACAGCATCGCCTAATAATGTCAAAATATATATATAACCTGCATTTTATTTAGGTTTAGCCGTGATAGTATTATAGAAGAGTTTGAGTGGGATAATGAGTGGGTACAATGTTCAAATATCAGTGATTCAATGCTGTTCACGATGTTCACAGCGCTAGCCACAGCACCACAGCATTATTTCGTCCATCTAGGAATCTTCAAACAACTTCTTAGGTTCCTTTTCAAAATAAACTTGTAGTCAATTATTCATTTACAGAAATTAGTGACCAGGATTGGCCCATAGAAGGCAGCTGCTATTGGCCCATACGAGGCAGCTGCTATTGGCCCATACAAGGCAGCTGCTATTGGCCCATACAAGGCAGCTGCTATTGGCCCATATGAGGCAGCTGCTATTGGCCCATACATAGCAAATAACATTATAATAGGAGTTATATATAGGCCACCAAATTTAGACAGAATGGAAGCAAAGCATCTATGGGATGAACATAAGAACAAAGGTAACTGCAGAAGGCCCATTGGCCCATACGAGGCAGCTCCTATCTATAACCACCCAATCCCACTCATATACATGTCCAACCCGCGCTTGAAACAATCGAGGGACCCCACCTTCACCACGTTACGTGGTAATTGGTTCCACAAACCAACAACCCTGTTACCGAACCAGTATTTACCCAAGTCTTAACTAAATCTAAACTTATCCAATTTATACCCATTGTTTCGTGTTCTGTCTTGAGTTGATACATTTAATACCCTATTAATATCCCCTTTGTTATGTCCATTCATCCACTTGTAAACTTCTATCATGTCACCCCTAACTCTTCGTCTTTCCAGTGAATGCAATTTAAGCTCTATTAATCTTTCTTCATATGAAAGACTTCTAATTTGGGGAATTAACTTTGTCATCCTACGCTGGACACGTTCAAGTGAATTTATATCCATTCTATAGTACGGCGACCAAAACTGAACTGCATAATCTAAATGGGGCCTAACCAGAGCAAGATATAGCTGAAGAACCACACCAGGTGTCTTGTTACTAACGCTTCGATTAATAAATCCCAGTGTCCTATTCGCCTTATTACGAACATTCATGCATTGATCCTTTTGTTTTAAATTCTTACTAATCATAACTCCCAGATCCCTTTCGCAATCCGACTTCGCAATCTCAACACCATCTAGCTCGTATCTTGTAACTATCATCATTACCTAGCCTCAAAACTTTACATTTATTAGCATTAAACTGCATCTGCCAGTCTTTTGACCATTTTAAAACCCTATTTAGATCAACTTGAAGTGATAGCGAGTCTTCTTTCGTGTTGATTTCCCTACCGATTTTTGTATCGTCTGCAAATTTGCAGATGTTGCTACTCAAACCTGAATCTAAATCATTTATATATATTATAAACAACAGAGGTCCCAGGACAGAGCCCTGAGGTACTCCACTATCAACATTATCCCACTCTGACTTAACCCCATTTATACTAACTCTCTGTTTCCTTTGGAATAGCCATGCCCTTGTAACACTGTAAGGTGTTTGGTTTAGTTGTATTTAAAATACATAGAGATACATGAGTCACAGACAAGGATTTGACAGGCGCCATTCTGGCGGCCTGAATCTCACACCTCTAAGAGTTAATGACCACCAAGCGACCTAAGGTCAGATCATGCAAATTTCACCTTGCTTCTGCTAATCTTATAATTGGAGCCTGGTAGCCTTCAAACATGCTGACGTTTAACCCTTAAATGGCGCATAGCTATATACCATTTGACACCCACAGGCGCACACCAAAAAAAAAAAAAAAAAAAAAAAAAAAAAAAAAAAAAAAAAAAAAAATTATTTTTTCTTCCTAACCTGTTAATTTGTGTTCACTGATCACGAGAAAAATAATAAAAAAATCGTAAGTGGCATATATTGCCCACTATAGGGCGGGGAAGTGTGGCAAAAATCAAGTGCTGACTGAGCGTGCGTCCCAGGCGGTCTGTTGATCGCCAGCTGTCAGGCCAGAGTTTCCACAAAGAGATAATTACCTAATTATTTCAATGTCTCTGATTGATTTTTCGTAGTTTTTTTGCTGTAATATTATTCAATAGTGTGTAGTGTGATATAGTTATATAATAAAATGAGCGAATCATCGCTGTACTCAAAAATATGGTGTGCATATTGTTGATTCAATTATGTTCATCAAACAGTGAACAAATACTTTGTTGGTTATTACACCATATACACAGGTTATATATAAGTATCTGCATGTTTTATTCACCATGACAAACCACTAATTTGGTGTGCTGGGTGGCAGTGGCAGTGGCAGGCAGTGACTGGCTGCCACTGGCTGCCACTCCCTCCCTCACCTCACCTCACCTGACTTGCCACCATTCTCCACCCACCATACTGTTTTTGCTTTTATATACAGACGTTATATATAAGTATTTACATGTTTTGTTCACCATAACTGTACATCTAAGCTTGTATGGTGAGTAAAGGCACAGAGACGTAGCTACTCGCACAGTCAGCTGGTGGCGGCCGCCCTCAAGGCCAGACGCACTAATATTTCTCCTACAACAATACTGTTTGTGGTGTTATTACGCTATATACACACATTATATATAAATATCTACCTGTTTTATTCACCATACTTGTACAAGTAAACTGGTATAGTGCCCAAAGACCATCGTGGTCATCAGTAAACATGATAAGTCCTGCAGACGACGCTCCACCCTCACCAAAATGGCGGCTCCCAACCTCCTCCTCTCGCTGTTATCTCACACTATACACACGTTATATATAAGTATCTACATTTGTGTTCACCATAGCAAACCACTAAGCTGGTATGGTGAGTGCAGTCAATAAAAGGTGGCCACACACACTCAAAAGACAACGCCACCGTCCTCCCTTCCACAGCATTACTCCTCCCTCCATGGCGCACAGCGCCAAATATCACCACAATCCTGCTATTATCAGAACCCTGGTCAGTTTTATCACAGTCAGGGGTCTTCTGTAATAATATCATCGCTACATAATAGCATGAACAAGTATATTATGGCATTTTTAGGCGATGCTGTGGTCACA